GTCAGAAATGCGATTTACAGGTCGGGAACACTAGAAACAAGCAGACGCGGAAGTTTCAATATCTGGAATGCGTTTTGACAGAGGACGGTAAGGGCAAAACTGAGATCCGTAGACATATTGGAATGTACAAGAACGCATTCCATTAGCTGACCAGAATATTGCGAGGCAAGTGGATTTCTTTGGTAACAAAGAAAAGAATATTTAGCTGCTACATGACATCCGTTCTCTTTACGGCAGCGAATTTTGGACGATTTCTTCAAAGATGAAGAAGAGACTCGAGGCGACGGAGATGTGTTTCTACAAAAGGATGCTAAGGATATCATGGTCCCAGCATGTGAGCAACGATCTTACAGAGGATGCAAACAAGGAGGAGGCTAATACTTAATATTAGGAAGAAGAAACTGAATTTTCTGAGACACATAATGAGGAAGGAGGGCCTGCAGAATCTGATACTCACGGGTCGAATAGAGGGAAAGAGAGACAGGGAAAACAACGCGAAACATACCTGGCCTGCGTAAGCAAGTGGATGAGAGAACGTGGTCAGGCGAACGAATCAGAAGGAAGGAACCTGTTGAGAGCTGCAAGGTATACAGGGAGGTGAAGAGCCATGATCGCCTACGTCTTGAAAGGACACGGCATATAAAAAGAAAAAAAAAGAATATAGGAATCAGTACTGTATAATCACCCTTATTTTCACAGCTCAGTTCTATCTTTCGACTAACTCGCTCTGAAGATTACGCCGAAGAGTAAACATGAGAGTCACTATGTAATTTTGATCTATGCATTCACACTGCGTTCAAATGAACGTGTGCATAACTTAGATACTATCAACATGTTTGATTAGTGTTTCAAGTCAAAGTTCCGCGGCCGTTACCTCAGTTTAGTATTTATCAATCCACCCACGAGGATAGAATGTGGCACAAGGCCGGTTTAATGTGGTTATCCCCGAGCCCGTAGGCTGGGCCAAAAATATAGCCTTTTTGAACCCGCCTAGAGGGATTCAGGCCCTGTCTATCTCCCCTGACGAAACCTTGACCTTCGGCAAAGCTTCGTCCGGGTTCCTCTCTGCTAATGCAGAGAGTTCGACAGACGCCGACTCGGAAGCTCACAAAGGCAGCGTACTACACTTTGATCATTGCCCCCGGGCCGAGCAGCTTACCTCAGTTTACACACGAATACACTTAAAACCGTATACAATTACCTCTTCTCCAGCACGAGTTATTACCTGGGCTCTCTAGCTTAGATTAGCAACCTGTCGAAGAAAATTCAAAACCAGTTGAAAATACTATTAGCAACTCCGCCCTGTAAAAACCTACTTTTTTTACTGAAGCTAGATCACCGGCGCTTGGTGACGTGAGTTTGTTAGCTATATACTTCTCAGAGGAGGATATAAAGCAGGCATGGCCAAACTTTTCCGACCAGTGGACCTCATGAGATATGGCTCATCATAAGGCGGGCTGCACAACTCAAAAAAGATTCAAGTTCATTTTTCGTTGGATGTGATTCAGCGATTTTCACTACGGAAGAACTTGCGCATAAGCGCCTGCCTTAGAAATGGGGAAAGCTGATTTTTTTTTTTATTTGGAGAAAAGTTTTTCAAGAATTAAAAAAAATAAATCTTGATACAATACTAATACAAACGACACTGCGATTAGCAGACACCGTTTCATGTGATTGATTTCTAAGTAATCCACTTTTAAACGCAAAAGAAAATTAATAAATGTTATATTTCTTCTCCAGAGAAAAATTTATAATGAACGTTTTCCTGTATCTGAATTTAAAAAAAAAGTATCTGCACGTCTGATCTTCCGTAGAGAAAATAACCAATGTTTTAAAAACGACGAAAACGTTCATTACACATTGCACTTAATCATTCTTTATGTATCTAGTTATGTATGGGAAAGTGTGTGAGTGAACAAGTGAAAACGAAACAAAACAAAGTAAATTTAAGGAAATGTTATTTTCCTCCTAAAATTAGGCGTGCAAACGGGTCACAGGTGGCTCGGGAGCCGCAGTTTACCCATGACTGATATAGATAAAGAATATATATATAATTAAATAATATTAACAAGTTTTGTCTATTTATTTTAAGTAATTTCCTTTCATATTGTCTGATAAGCTTAATCATATTATCGTTGAAAGACGAAAGGAAAACACCATATTAATACATGTTTAAATCCAATCTAAGCTTTCGACTTACACAAGCCATTACCAAAGATAACAATTTCAATAAATCAAACAACAACGGACGAAACAACAATGATAGTCCGCCCTTAATACATGAAAATTTCAAGTAACGACAAACTCGTATATATGAGACGCGGAAGCGAAAATCGCGTCGCCGCTCGCGACGTCACACATGACCCGCGAGAGTGAAAAACAAGAAGTATTAAGCTTATCAGACAATATGAAAGGAACTTACTTAAGATAAATAGACAAAACTTGTCTATATTATTTAATGAAACGTGCATTGATATATATATATATATATATATATATATATATATATATATATATATATATATATATACTATAAATAATCAATATACATGTTTCCGCCCCGTTTGGTGCAAAGCTCTTCCCTATGTTATTGAGAATTTATGAATTTTGGCACAGTACAAAACTGATGATGAGGACAATTTATATCTAAGTTGGCTAGATGTAACCGTATGTTCGATGATAATATTTTTATTTCTCGCACTTCTCTCTTGAGGAACTCTCTCCCGTTTCTATGCTTTCCGGCCAACTTTAATCTTGAAAAGTTTAAATGAATTATCAATCGCTATACTCCTGATTATTCTACTTTTGTTCTCGCTCCTTAATATTGTTTCTGTTTTATTTTTTTTATTCTTTCACACCAAGGAACTTCTTGAGTCTTAGCGACTTTACAGCCTTTCTTGGGGTGAACTTGATTAGAAAAATAGATACAATAACACTAAACTTCATGCATGCATCAATATTCATTGTGCAATATATTTTTTTAATATGAAATGTTCTTAAAAGTGTCACATTATAATGATCGGTACGTGTGATTAACGGTGAAGCATGTAAAATGCAACGGCAGCTTAGCGATTTAATTCGTTCCTGGAGGCTGTTCGTGACCCGAGATTTTCGTAAAACGAAATAATTTTCCTCATAGGAATCAATATAAGTTGGATTAATCCGTTCCAGGATCCCAGATGATGGCTTATTTAAACTTTTACAACAGTACTTTTTCATACAACAAAACCAATGAAAATCATTAAATTTAGCACAAAAAATAGATTCAGAGAATACGAAACAGAAAAAATATGGAAGAAAAATAAGCGATCTCAAATATGAGAATCCACGTAAAATAACGTTTAAAGTGATAAAATTCTATCGGATGGATAAGTAAAAAGCCATTGACTTAAAAATTCCTTGATTTACTTTTGGATACGTAACTTGGCAGATAAGAAATATTCAAGGAATCTTAATACGGAAACTATTAGACACGTTTCAAATTTTGCTTCGCCCGCACAGCGGCCGGCTCTTTGGCTGAGTCGGTTAAGGCACGTCAGATCTAATAACGGTTTTTCCTCTTGTCCAGAGAGATGCAGTTTCGAATGTTGCTGGAGCGTGCAATATATTTCTGTAATAAGATTTCTCGAATATTCAGACCGGTAGACGAAAATGAATAAATTTATAAAGTTATTTCTCTTTAACTTGAACTCTCCAAGTTTTTGGCTCACCATTGATGTAGCCTGGTATTGAACTGAAATAGGAAGAGGTATGACACTCGGAACAAGAACAATCTACCCTGGTGGACGAAATAAAGTGTTAGGTTCGAGCTTATAACGGCCGAAATGTCATGAATATTGCAATGAAAACGAGGGTAAGAGTCTGAATAATGTAAATGATTATAAGTTAGTTTACTGTTGTTGTTGTTATTGTTGTTGTTGTTATTGTTGTTGTTAACTTCATTATCTTTTCTGTACTAATACCTCCCAGATCATTATGCCTCCACCGCCTTGTTGGTGTCTCAAATGCTGATGGCAATTCTGTCCATTCATTACCCAGCCTTTGCACCATCTATCTGGCCCATCAATTGTTGCTCGAGTTTCGTCTGTGAAGAAAACTTTAGAGAAGTCAATCTTCATATTACCCTCGGCCCATTTGAATCGATTTTGAATGTGATTTCTCGTCAACGGAGGCTTCGATACAGGTTGGACTGTTGTTGCGATTTCCTTCAGATACCGACACCGAGTACTTTTAGACACAGTAGGATCCCAAATATATATATATATATATATGTGTGTGTGTGTGTGTGTGTGTGTGTGTGTGTGTGTGTGTGTGTGTGTGTGTGCCCGTGCGTGCTTGTATCTGTGAATGCGTGCGTGCGTGCGCGCTCACGCCTGCGTGCATTTGTGTATGCCAGTGTGTGTGTGTGTGTGTGTGTGTGTGTGTGTGTGTGTGTGTGTGTGTGTGTGTGTGTGTGTGTGTGTACGCGCGTGTGCGTATGTGCGCCTGTGCAAGTGCGGGCGTGTGTGTGTTGTCTGTAGGTCAATTAGGACCATAAACCGCAGCATCATGCTGTGTAAATATCCACAATATGTCTGCGTAGACTCTATTCTCGTTTTCAGTGTACTCTTCCCCATAAGTACATGACATTTATGTAACAGATTAATGTACTTTGCGTATTGTTATTATTTCTTCATATTGTTTGAACAAAATGCTACGGTTGGTAGGAATCTGAAATTGAATGTGTCAGTCAAAAACATTATTCTTGGTCTTATCTTTGACGTGCACTCAATCACCGACTTTACCCCCGTAATTAAAAGCAAATTTTATCAAAACCACAATGCAATATCAAAGTATACAAAATAATAGCAACTTCAAATATATGCATCTCGAAAATCAATAACTTTAACATACACCATAGCATCCGATTTAATGTCAATGTTTCAATTAAATTTTCACATTGAAGGGAATATATATTTGTCTAAAACTGTCAGACTTACATTCGTAAAATTAATTTATACCGCATAGAGAACAAACGCAGATAGATAGATAGATAGATAGATAGATAGATAGATAGATAGATAGATATCAAAAGTAGATAGGTAGAGAGAGATACCTAGATAGAAATCAAAAGGAGATAGAAAAAAGAAAGGAAAAAGATATATAGAATTACTAAAAACATAGATAGATAGATAGATAGATAGATAGATAGATAGATAGATAAAACTTCTACATATTGATAGAAGTAAAAAAAAAAATAGATAGATAGAAGTAATAAAAAACTTCGTTATATTAATAGAAGTAAAAAAAAAAAAATTATCGATAGATAAATTTTAATTTAAATACGTATTCTAGTTTCTGTATTTTGCTGATGAAAGTCCAACGGGACTGTCTTCAATGTATGTTACGTCTTCTTAAATTTCCGGTGTGGCTTCCGTCTTTATAGCGTAACGCATTAAGTTCAGAGTCCCATGATTTTAAACCTCCGCTGAATTACTGTCATATACAAACACAGGAAAGGCTATGGTTGTGTCCAAATGACCCTACTATAATGTCGATAAAATCAAAAAGAAAAAGGCAACAATTTTACGATCGCACCTTTTATATATATATATATATATATATATATATATATACTCGTTTCGAAAAACCCTCGAATTTTGGATTTGCCAATAATCAAATCAATCTCGAGGGAAAAAAAGGTCTTAAAAAAAAGAAAGAGCTAGAAACATGAAAATCTGTCGAAAAAAGTCGCACAGATACAGGTTTGAAGCCCAAAGAAAAAAACCCGACACGAGTAAACAACTAACAAAAGAGCTCAATACAACCGTAGAGCAGACCTAGATACACCTAGTGAGCCAGACAAACCTACCTAGGTTTCACCTAAACGGATCGTCAGGGAAAGTTTTGACGATCCGTTTAGGTGAAACCTAGGTAGGTTTGTCTCACTCACTATCTATATATATATATATATATATATATATATATATATATATATATATATATATATATATATATAGATAGATAGATAGATAGATAATATTAGTGGAAAATATACATACATATGCAAAATATATAAATACCCATACATGTATATTTTTTGAATAAAATTCCAAGAGGATAGAATCCAGGTAGAACTCAATGTCCACTACAGAGTAAGTATATAATAAAAAGGCTTAAACACTAATATTCCATGGTCATAGTTTATTCCATTGGAATCGTAAATTCTCTTTTTATTTCCGGAGTTGTATTTTCTGTTTTCTTTTTTGAATTTGAAGGTCTGATGAATTGGATCGTATTTACGATTCAATGGAATAATGTATGACCATGGAATATTAGTGTTTAAGCATTTTTATTTTTATATATATGTATATATATATATATATATATATATATATATATATATATATATTATATTTTGAACAATAAAAAATATTAAAAATTAAAATCTTCAGACACACTGAGTTGTAGATTAATATTCTTTCTTTTTTTTATTATTATTCCATTTAGATTCCTCGACTAGTTTCGCCCAAAATGGCCATCATCGGGAGAAGAAATATTTATACTTGCTGGTAGCAGTAAACTACAGAAATGAATGTCTTGCTGGATATATATATATATATATATATATATATATATATATATATATATATATGTGTGTGTGTGTGTGTGTGTGTGTGTGTGTGTGTGTGTGTGTGTGTGTGTGTCTGTATGTGTGTGTGTGTACGTTTCATTGAATATAACAGATAAGGTACTTTGATTTAGTTTTTTTTATTTTATTCAATTTCTCATGTGATTTTTTTTCTTTTGGGAGGATACTTTACATAAAAACTGTTCAATTGTTCTTTCTTTCCGAGCTCTTTCGGCTATATATTTAGCCATTTTAAAGGTTAGGAGATTTTGTGTCCTAGCACATGCGCTGAAAAAGGCTTAAACACTAATATTCCATGGTCATAGTTTATTCCATTGGAATCGTAAATTCTCTTTTTATTTCCGGAGTTGTATTTTCTGTTTTCTTTTTGAATTTGAAGGTCTGATGAATTGGATCGTATTTACGATTCCAATGGAATAATGTATGACCATGGAATATTAGTGTTTAAGCATTTTTATTTTATATATATATATATATATATATATATATATATATATATATATATATATATATATATATATATATATTATATTGAACAATAAAAAATATTAAAAATTAAAATCTTCAGACACACTGAGTTGTAGATTAATATTCTTTCTTTTTTTATTATTATTCCATTTAGATTCCTCGACTAGTTTCGCCCAAAATGGCCATCATCGGGAGAAGAAATATTTATACTTGCTGGTAGCAGTAAACTACAGAAATGAATGTCTTGCTGGATATATATATATATATATATATATATATATATATATATATATATATATATATATATATATGTGTGTGTGTGTGTGTGTGTGTGTGTGTGTGTGTGTGTGTGTGTGTGTGTGTGTGTGTGTGTGTGTGTACGTTTCATTGAATATAACAGACAAGGTACTTTGATTTAGTTTTTTTATTTTATTCAATTTCTCATGTGATTTTTTTTCTTTTCGGAGGATAATTTACATAAAAACTGTTCAATTGTTCTTTCTTTCCGAGCTCTTTCGGCTATATATTTAGCCATTTTAAAGGTTAGGAGATTTTGTGTCCTAGCACATGCGCTGATTCCTTAAGTTTTCGTATTTTCCAATGATCCACTCTGAGTATTATTTCAATCTCATCCCATAGAAATATAGATAGATCTTAATTTCATGTCGTAGATTAAAAATTCGTTCTTGAAGTGGCGAATTTTAAACGTAGCTTCGATGTGACAGAAGGCCGAAGATATGGTGTATGCATTGGTGATCGAACTAACTTTTTTGTCGTAAATGCTCTAGAAAAACAAGCTTGCTAACAATTGCACCTAGTTGAAATACCTAATTCTTTATTGAAGTCCATTCCGAAATATATGGTCGTAATATCAGAATTTAATAAGATTTCTATCACCCTTTAGAAAACTGACATAAAATTGAGAAGCTACACAACAGTTCAAATATTTGAGGTAACGCCTGTTAAATTTCTAAATCCCTCCCCCCACAATTGTTATTTTGTACGTAAGAGATAATTATTATACATAGTTAAAAATCTGAGTCATTTTTATTAGAAATTTTATTATGCAAAATAGGAAGAAAGCATTTTATGATTAAATTTTGCTCTCGTCAAAATATCCTCCTTCAGCCTTGATTGATGCAGCACAAATTTTTGGCATCTGTTACAAACGTTTCTCAAAATGTTAATTTGATAATTGATGCCATTTTTTTTTCAACAACACTAAAAGCTGTTTTTCATTTTGTTTCTTCTCTTCTGTCTAGTTCATCCCCTGCTAATTCTGGGGCGGCTTTAACCTTTTTAACTCTAATGTCTAATAAATATAACTGTATACAGTTGTAAAATATCATTTCATTATTGTCAATGGATTGTCGATTTAAGCGCACTACTCTAAAAAATATAAACTATCAGTTCTTGATGCTAATGGTTGGAGATTTTTGTAAATATATCATAAGTTTTCGGTTGAGATTCTGATCCTTGTATAAATGAACATTTGTCTGAAAATAAAGCCATTAAAACAGCATTGTTTACACTAATCTCTTCTCCCGCGCGCAAAGAATAAAATTACTTTCGTGATCTAAATTGCTGTTCATGAATGATACAATGGCAACAAAAAAAAAATTCAGTCTGTTAATATAGAAACACTAAACAATAACGAATATTTCTTCTTACTCATAAGATGTTGCATTGCACCAAGAAATAAGCAATGACGAGTTACTTAAATTGAAAAAGACAGAACGTAAATATGAAGATTCTAATAACCATTCAAATAATCCTTCGGATTTCATAGTCAGCATTTTTCAGTTTCAGCCGAGTTCGAATTCCCGTCGAATCCATTACATTCATTTACGTGCTTATATACACTGACGTACTGATGACCTTCGGAATACGCTAAGCCTTTCAATTGATCACGATGTAACGGATTTTGAATTATATCATCGTCTTTATATGTAGTTTCACATCCTTCTGCAGGCGATCATGGCCATCCGCAACTCTATGTTCATTGTAGCTCTAATAAACAAAGAAAATAGTAGTGAGCATTTTCTTCATGTGTCGTGTTCCCTCAAGACGTAGGCGACCATGACTCTCCACATCTTCCTGCCCTTGTAGCTCTTAATTAATTGTGTGTTTACGTTATTTCTCTTAAAACCAGTTCCATGTTGTTTTTTTCTGTTTCTCTTGCCATCAATCTGTTCTGTGAGTATCAGATTTTCCAAACTCCCTTCCTCATTATGTCCGCTAGAAAACTCAGCTCTCTCTTCATTATTGTTTCCTTTTTGTTTCCATTTTCTCTTATCGTTAATCACATGTTCGCCTCTTTGCATCCTTCTGTAGAACCACATTTCTGTTACTTGAAAGCTCTTCTTCATATTGTCCAGCATTCACTGCCATACAAGAGAACTGATATCATGAAACAGTTCAGTACTTATTTCTTTGTTTTTATTCATGTTTCATTTTCTATTTCTTAGTACTCTACTTAGCTTTTGGAATGCACCATTGGCTATGTAAATATGCCTACGGATTTCAGTGCAAGCATTTTCTTCCTCGTCAGAAATATTTAATTTTACGCAATTGTTTGATTTTGGTATCTGTGATTCGTAATTTTGGCTCATAATTTTGCTATTAAATAGCGATGAATGATTTCGCTCCGGTTGTGAAATAATAATACAAATTATGCTTGATTTAAAATAATAATAATCCATATTATTTATTATGTCTGAAATAAACCTTATTTATGAGAACGTAAATCACTATAACAGATTTTTCGATATTTGGTTAAGAAATGATAAGTAAGTATTAAATATTCTTCGTTATATATTTTTTAATATTCTCTAACAGAAAATATCAAAGGGAAACGCAGCAGGGAAAAACTTCGAGGGTTTACAGCGTTGAAACCCCGGTTTTCATCCGATCGCCGAAAGTAAACAACGTCGAGCCTGGTCAGTAACTAGACCTCTTTGGGAGTCTAGGTGTTGTATGCTTGAATATGCGGGTGATGTGTTAGATAATGGCACAGAAAGAGAAATCCGAGAGCCGATGTCAAATTAGATCTGGGAAGTTCCGTTTTTTTTGTTTTTTTTGGTTTTTCTTTTTAACTGTCTCGTTCGTTAAATTAAGATTTGACATGTTCGACATTAAAAGAATACACTATAGAGTAACGGATAGCGGCTCTCATTGAGGTATCAGAGAGCCGAGTTCGAATTCCAATCGAATCCATTACATTCATTTACATGCTTATATACAATGACGCAAAGAGCTAAAAGTAAATACTGGAATCATATACCGAAGGTCCGTTCCGCGGATGCAATTGAGTCGGTTTGATAAGTAATGACCGGATGTGGGGAAGAACAACTGTGGCCAAAGACTGAAAATATTGGCACATTTGAAACTCTGGCATTGTTAGCTAAATGCACATTCACATACAATACAGGAAATATTGGAATCATATACCGAAGGTCCGTTCCGCGTTCTTTAGCGTTCATATAAGTAGAGTAGACGCTTTGAGTTTCCCTGTTAATACCTCAACATTGGCCATCACGGTGGAGTAATGGTAGCGGCCCGGAGGAATCGGAGAGCTGAGTTTGAACTCCAATCGAATCCATTCAATTACGTGCTAATACCTTTGAGAAAGGTAAGAATCCTCTTCTTCTCTCCAGCTATGGGTAAATATCAGAATAGACCGGGTTCTCTAGCCTTGGATGTCAACTGGTCTATCGCAGAAAGAAATGGCAACCTACTGCAGGAAAAAAAATCTGCCTTATCAATCATGTATCGAAAGATACATGATCGCCTACTCGTGTATCACGCATGTCACATAACTGACTAACTGACTGAGATTTGACATGTCGTTAATTGAACTTTGGATGAATGGGGATGTATTAAATGGTCATATGAGTCACGGATGCAATTGAGTCGGGTTGATAAGTAATGACCGGTTGTCGGGGAGAACAACTGAGGCCAAAGACCCCAGATAACAACAACGTTTGATGGTGATTACATTATGATACCCGACGTTTTCACTTTACATGTTGTGCTTAAATAGTTCATGTAAAAACGTCATTGACACAAGACCACAACCTTGCACCATTTTCTAACCATTTATACCCTTGAATTAATTTTATTCTTCTTCTACTGTATCGCATCCCTTCAAGAGATGGGTCAGCATGGTTCTCATAAACACCATATCCTATATGGCACTAAGAGTTTACCTTTGCTAAATATATATTAAATGTTCTAACAGAGGACGGAAACTACGACACTGAGATCCGAAGACGCATGGGGATGGCCAAAGAAACATTCCAAAAGTTAAACAGTATGTTAAGAGAGAGAAAAACCTTCGTTAAAAACAAAGAAAAGAGTACTGAGCTGTTACGTGATATCTGTCCTTCTATATGGCAGTGAATTCTGGAAATTTTCCTCAAAGATGAAGAACAGAAAAAACGGAAGCAACAAAGGAAACTTATAAATAACATTAGAAAAAGTCCTTTGGGCATTCTGAGACACGTAATGAGGAAAGAGAGCTTGAAAAACCTAATACTCACAAGACAGAATGAATGAAGGAAAGCTGGACAGAGGAAAATATAATATATATACTTCATGAGCTTGAATTCATGGATGGTAGAACAGGGTTTGGGATAAATAGCAAAAAGATCAAATTTATTTCAAGGGACAGGAAGAGGTAGAGGGCAATTATCGCCTACGTCTTAAAGAGACATGACATATAAAAAGAAGATTCCTGTTCTCATTACATCATCCATGCCCACAGGCTCGTCAGTTATGTTTCGCTGCCTTCCTCAATCTCTCTTGCCGTCAATATGCCCTGTGACGGTGAAGTGTTCCAAACCCTTCCTCCTTATTAAGTGACCAAGCAAATTCAGCTTAAGTGTTCTTTTTGTTGTGACTTTGTTTAAGATTGGCTCGATTCTTACTCGCTCTGTACATGGAATTCTCAGTTTCCTTCTGTAGAAATAAATTTCTGTTACCTCCAGTTTTCTCATCATTCGTAGGGAGATTGTTCTACATTCAGATATTTTAGAGAATTGATATAGTATTTCAACATTCTTTTCATTGTTTCTAACGATTTCTTTCTGTTTTCAACACTTTGCTGAGTATATAGAATAACTCTTAGTATTCGTTAATTGATCAGCTGATTCTTTTTTTTTTACAACTTATCAAAATGTGCAGGCTCTTCGGGGCCAAAAATGTTGTTAGATTGTAAACATTTGTTTTTGCTATTTTGGATAATTACGTTTTTGTGATACAATTCCTACAAATTAAGCCATAACTAGGTGGCGAAGTGGTAGATTCATACCTTTCCCAAAGATATTTGCGCGTAAGTGAATATAACGAACCCAACAGGAATTGGAGCTCGTCCCTCCAATTCAAAATTCGCTGCTATTGT